GAGAGTAGGGGAGGCGTAATAATATTATCGGCTGTACAGTCAGGAACTGTGGCAATTACAAAAAAATCAGTCGGATGGTGGATTCTTAAGTGATTCTGCAGTAATACACAGTTTCAATATAATCCTTTTAGATATCACTTGTCTTATGTCCACATGGCTGACATTTTTACTGTTGATGCTGCTCACAGTGTTGAGCAGCAAAGCACAGGAGAGCCCAAAAAGTTCAAAAAGAAAAAAACAAAACAGTGCATTTAATCACTTATTAATTATCTTTACCATTAACATTATTTGTAAAGTACAAACATCGACACTTCGTTGTATGGCTATTTAATTTTTTTGAGCCAAAATCTTCATCCTTTTTTTCTCTTCTGGCTGAAATTTTTTTTTTGTGGAGGCATCCCTAATAACTATAGTAAATATAACTGATGTTAAATTCCAGTCTAACGTTAGCTAAGTCTAAGATATATTGATAAATTTTATTCCACATTAATAAACTCAGAACATTCTCCATTTACTCAGAAAGTGAGTAAGCCTGAGTGAGCGTCCCCACGGGAATCGAGAGCACGTGAGGTTGGGGAAAAGGGGACGCAGCTTCCTGGAAGTGTCTGTTAATATCGGAGAGTTCATAACACCTGGCTCATTTCCCGTTTTATTGGAAGGAAAAGGATTCTTATGCCAAGTGTGTAACGGTTGGTAGGACTGGTAATATAATATAATCGGTGATAAACATCACTGGATATTATGGCAATGTAATATTATGTAGGGACAATAAAATCGTTATATCACACAAGCCTAGTGCTAGTTGTACAGTTAAGAGACATTTAGGATTCAGAACTATACTTGCTATATAATGTATAAAATATAATATACACCCAATGTAGTGCACTTTCTGGCCAACAAGAAACCGCTTAGGATGAAATATATTAGATACAAAGTAATGGCTTCAACCATTCCCATATATATATATATATATACATATATATATATACATATATATATATAAACAATAATAACAAAACTACAGATTTAGGAGAGTAGGGAGAGTGACCGTGTGCGCATGGAGTCAGTGCGGTCGAATACCTCAGCACATACTGCAGACGAGAACGAACATCCGCCCACACACACATGCAACACATTACACACTCACAGCCCACGCAGTCCAGCACGCATGCGTGCACTTGTGAAAACACACACACACACATACACACACATCACAGGTGGAAAAAGGTTCAAACTGTGCAGCAAACGTAGAAAGCAAGTCACAAAACAGAAGGGGACAGAGCGAGAAAAAAAGAGAGAAAGAAAGAGAGCCAGAGAGATTTTGAAAGACTGACAAAAAAAAGACACAGAGAGAAAGAGACAGAGATAGATAGATAGATAGAGACTGAAGACAAACAGACTAATACTGAGAGACAGTCAGCTTTGTCAATACAATCCATTATATGTCATGCCAATAAAGCACCCTGAATCAAACTGAACTGAGAGTGAGATAGAGCGAGATTCAGAAATGGATAGAGAGACAGAAAGAGAGAGAGGAACGCGTGGGTGGAAACACTTCCTGAGTCACAATCCTCTGAGCACGGAGAACAACACACTGTTGTGAAACACTGATAGAATGACAGAGACAGTGAGAAAGGCACAGAGATAGAGACAGTAAAAGACTGAGAGAAATAGAGAGAGATGCAGGAGTTGCCTGACAAAACCAGGTAACTCTATTACACAGTAAACTGGGATTCATTCATACACTTACTCTCTCTGTGTGTGTGTTTGTGTGTGTGTGTATTCACAGTGTACACAATACACTACTTAGCATATGAAATACTGGCTTTAGTGATTCAGCTTCCTACTTCCTATATAAGTACTGCATAAGGTATGAAATACATGGCGCACTGTAAAGAGGCTTTTAAGCCAAGAACCTCTTCCTGAACGCGTCTCACCTCAGACTCCTGTCATACACTTTAGTGCGGAACACTTCCTCCTGGTCCAGACTGATGGTGCAAAATGTACCAATGTCTCGGAGACGATTCGATCCAGAACCGATACCTAGGTTCCGGCCTTCACCTGAAAACACACACACACACAAACAATATGAGCAAACTTACTGTTTCAGCTCAACATAGGAATCACTTTCTAGAACAAATTTCACTATTTAAATACCATTTAAACCCTTGTGTCACTTGATGTTAGGAAACCACTTTAAATAATTGCATATCATTAATGGCAAACCTTCATGTTTCACCAAGGTCCTCATTTACCAACATCACACAGATAAGTCCTAAATAAGGCCACACATACAAATAAGTAATGAAGTTTAACCAGTTGTGTGTAACCTCCAGGTCACTGCTCATTTAAAAACAGACATGTCCACAATTAACCATATATGGCATGTAGGCCATAACTCTTCAAACTCTTCAAAGAGTTCCTAAACAAAAGAACTCAGAAATTTTGTTAGCGCCACTTGGAAACAGACACACACAAAAGAAACTTTTTGTGAAGCAGAGATTTTGATTTGATTAGAAGTTTGCTGTTTAATATTTTCGTGACTTTATGTGATTTGTCCAGTAATAATTTAACAAATTTACATACATGCACATTCGTTAAAAAATCAAAACCCTTGAGTGTTAAGCAAATTCATTGTCTGATGGTGCTATAACTGTTACCCCGCTCTGCAGCTCACTTCCTTTGAGCCCCTAGCACGCCTTGATTGGATCCACCATCCCTCAAAGTACGAGGAAGACACGCATCAAGATGATTTTCTGTCCTGGCACCCAGTTGGTGGAATGAACTCCCCCTGGCTGTCTGAACAGCTGAGTCACTGGCGGTCTTCAAACAAAGACTAAAGACCTAATTCTTCACCAAGCGCTTAATTAATTAATTTTTTTAAAGGGAATTTTTAAAAAATCCCTTGCATGTTATCTTTTCATGTCTTCCCGAACAGGGATTTAGCTTGATGTTATTCTTAGTCCCTGACCTAGCGAACTAGCATGAGGATATGTGTGTGTTTTACAGAAACTAGATAGCACTTTTGTAAGTCGCTCTGGATAAGGGCGTCTGCTAAATGCTGAAAATGTAAATATAGCGGCAACACGAATGCCATTGGTGAAGGGGATTTAGATCATATGGGCCAAGAGAAACGATGGCATTCAGCGCTGCGAGCACAATCTCAGTCAATGATGGTGGATTTATAAGCAAACACATTTTTCCACCTGAGTGCTTTGTGTACACATGGTCAAAGCTGTGCATAAATATACATGGCGTACATACAAATCTGAGCAAACATTTGTTTTAAATTCCATATTTTAAGCTGAAAGGTTTATACACACATATCACACACATATCTGTGCTTATTCACCATTAATAGATGAGGGCCTGGGAACTCCGTGTGACTTAATGTCAAATGCAATCTTACTGAGCATATAGATCACTACACAGGTACTGAGTGTATACAGTGAATAGGAAGTTGAAGCTGATTTTTACATTTCTCTGGTAGTGATATTGCTTCCTCATGATTTTCTTTGCTTAAGAAACTTTCACAATGGAGAAATTGATATAATAATGTAACAGTTTAACCTGGTCATGGCTGTGCTGGATGCGAAGTTGATCCCGGAGCACTGGGCAAGAGCTTGGGATATATATCCAAACCTAACCCTAATCCTAACCTCAGTAACCAAAAGGAAATCGCTTGGCTCTTTTAGGTTGTTTTATAAAAGCTGCAGGTTTTGTCACATAAAAGCAGTTGTCAAAACTCTCGGATATTCTTATTGTGTGTATGTGTGTGTATGTGTGTGCGTGCACACAGATGTGTGTATTAAACTGCATCGTGTGTAAGATGTGGTTAAAGGCGAGAAGTATTCACTTCCTCCCAGAATGCACTGCGGCTTCCAGCAAAACACTGATTCAGAAAAAACATGCGTGCACACACACACACACATAAACACACACATAACAAATGTCACATCAGCCTTATTCATAACACATTACACATATACAAACCAGTAAATAATACACACACTTTAGTGGAGTATGTTGGTTGCAGGTAAGGCTGTGATATTTAGAAAGAAAAAAAAAATTGGAAAAAAATAAAAATCCAAATACAAAGCCAGCCAGCTGATCTGATATCATTCGGGCTACAAAAGCTCCTACACCCTGAGTAGTGCACTACACGTCCAGGCCTTAGATTTCACTTCTATATAAGTGTCCACACACACAGATGTGTAATGTATCATTTCTTACTTGGACACTAGGGATGAGAACAATTAAAAATGTATTTTTGTAGACATTAAATAGACACTGCTGAGTTGCTGGCAGTTTGTTAGCAGTTTGTAAGCTATGTATTGTAATGTATTTCATGTTCAGTAGAAATGTCTTCAAGAATCAATATAACATTGTGAATATCGCATATTGTGAATATAGCACATTGGGAATATAATATATTGTGTATATAGTATATTGCGAATATTGTATACTGGGAATATCATATATTTTGTATATATACTATATTGTGAATATCATATATTGTGGATGTTCTTTACTGCACAAATAAAAGTGTTTAAAAAAAAAAACAATGCACTGAAACAGTTTTTTTGCTTTAGCTATGGAAAAGACAAATAGTCGACCAGCAATTTGAAAAAAAGTAGTCAACTAATGAAAGCAAAAACTGTTTCAGGACATCACTATTTTTAGGCTGTTTAATCTGTGCAGTAAAGAACACGTAAAACTGCAGTTCAGTTAAGAGCCACTCATAGGTTTCAAATTACATTTTTCCAGCTTTGTCGATTTTTTGAGGCTATAAAAGTAAATAATTTGGTGCAACTTTCTTTCTTTGGCTGCACTCGTTAGGGGTCGCCATGACAGATCATTGATCACGTTTTGATTTGGCACCGCTTTTACGTCGGATGTACTTCTTGACGCAACCCTCCCCAATTTTTTTTTTTATTAATCCGGGCTTGGGACCGGCACTGGAGTGCAGTGTCTTGTGCAACCCCAGTGGCTGGGGTTTGTTCCCTGGCCGGGAATCGAACCTGGGCCACGGCGGTGACAGCGCTGTGGCCTAACCAGTCATCCTCCAGGGACCCCAAGTTGGTGCAATATCTGTACAAAATAATAAATATGTGCATCATGTTACACGATTTAAGGACATACCAGTTCTGAAAATGTGTTTGTGAAGATGTGGTGTGGAAACTCCTTATAGTTAAATGATGATGAAATCCTAGCTTCTTTATGGATGGAGGCTGCCATGTCTACAGCAGCATCTGGGAGGGTTTTTTTTTTTTGAATGCCATGTCCAACTCCGGCCTTGGTAGTGTCTGAAAACAAGTCTGAATCGGCTGTGGGATCTAATCTAATGTGCCATTAAAGCAAAAGAAAATTAAAAAAGAGTTCTCCCTGCATAATCTTGTGCAGTTGATTGCAGAATTAATTTCCTCTAGTCGGAAATATTTTCAACAATTAGCTGCTTTCTTTATCGTCTGTGTTGCTGTTTTTCACCACCGCCCGAATAGTTGAAGTATTCTGCAACTAATGGACTAGTTGACTAGTCTATGCAACCCCTAACACACACACACACACACAGTAATGATACTAGAGTTTCATAATTTCAGTTCATGCCCCTGTCTATGCAAGCACAGTTCTCTATTCCAGGTAATTCTAGAAGAGAAACCAATCTATGCTAACACACACACACACACACACACACAAACATACACAAACGCACACACACGCGCAAACACAAACACGGACACACACAAAACATTCCTCAGTACATACCTTTCTGACATTGTTGATTGTGTGATGTCATATACATGCACAGAGGAAGCTTAATCTCCCACAAGTAAAGCTTTAGGGAGTGTGTAGACAGCAACCAATGCCCTGCAGTTAACTCTCTATCTCAGTATCTCAGTCTTTTTCTCTTTCACACGCACACACAGGTGCGATCTGGAGGGAAACGAACATGTGCCACTGTATGCATAGCAACGGAAGTGTACGCAAACCAAGAGGGCAAAGCCTGAACAAACAAGTTACACACACACACACACACACACACACACACTACTATAGCCACATTAGAGCAGAGAGTGCTCATTCTGGTCTAAAGGGTTCTAGAATGTAGAACCCCAGTGTTCCATTGTAATACTTAGAAAATTCTAGAACAGCTGAGAATCACAATGTGTTCTAAGCTCATTTAAAGCTGAGAGATAGGCAGATTCACTAGGATTAAAAAATTGCCCCTAGATATGATTGTGTGTGTGTGTCACAACCAGTGTGTAAAGCCTGACTGAGTTGTGCTTGTGTGAACCTATTTTCCCAATGATCACAGATCACCATTCTTCCCATGACCAATCACTGATCACCACTGTTCCCTACAACCAGTCACAGATCACAATGGTTCACAGTAACCAATCACTGATTACCATTCTTCCCAATGACCAATCACTGATCACCACTGTTCCCTACAACCAGTCACAGATCACAATGGTTCACAGTAACCAATCACTAATCACCATTGTTTCCCAAAGACCAATCACTGATCACCATTCTTCCCAAAGACCAATCACTGATCTCAATGGTTCTCTACAACCAATCACTGATCACCATTCTTCCCAGTGACCAATCACTGATCACCATTCTTCCCAGTGACCAATCACTGATCACCATTGTTCCCTACAACCAACCTCTGATCACCATGGTTCCCAGTGATCAATCACTGATTACCATTCTTCCCAATGACCAATCACGGATCACAATGGTTCTCTACAACCAATCACTGATCACCACTGTTCTCAACAGCTGATCACTGATCACCATTGTTTGTCCCACCTGCACACTTCTTTGCTCTTAATTTTAAACTCTTTTCTCAGTGATTCTCAATACGAATTACAGTATTTTCCCAGTATAGTATAACCCTGTAAATAGTTAGATTTTATTGCCATGACCATAGTGTGGCTGAATTCTCAAATCTGATTGGTCAGTTGGTGTGGATTAATTTTGTATAACAGCAAGGCTTGGCCAGTAGTTCCGGCTGTAACATAAACAATAGGTTTACATTAATGCATTCTATCTGATATATTATTGTTTCTATAATAACAGCTCAGTCACAGGGACTTGTATGGCAGACACTCCACATAATCTAAGACTAACCATAGACTAAACAGATTAATAAAAAAGTGGTGTTTAACAAAGAACAAAAAGGAGATGCTGGCGAATGAATGACTTGGTTATGGTTTATGATTTTATAAAATAAGTGATAACAGGAACTGACCTGTCTTGCAAACGTTCCACAGCATTAAATTTAACTATAAACTGTTAAAAAGTGCAATGTGCTGCATCACACCACCCTGGTCTGTTGTTTGTTATTCCTTCCTTATTTTTGTTCTGATGAAACTCTATTCTATTCCACTCCAAGCCCCTTCCAAAAGGCTTCCTTATCCGATTTTTTTGATATGCAAATGATCATGACAAGTTAATGAATATGTATGACATGATCCTGTGATTTCTAGTGACTTTTTGAGCATGCAAAATTGGTTGGTAACTTGGGCTAGTATCTTGGAGGAAGCACATGCTAGCCTTCACACTCCCTGGTTGGTTGTTGTGTGACAGGGGAGAGATAGCTAGTGGGTATGAATTGGCAAATGATGAGATCGGGGTTTAAAAAAAGGTGACACAGGGTGTCACTTTTCCCGAATGGCGCAACAGAAAAGCTTTCACTCTATCACTGAGAGCTTGCAAGTTTGAATCCCAGTGACGTCACAGCCATCCATACACTGGAGTCTAGAGAACAAAACTGTCTGTGCTCTCTGGGTGGGAGGCGTGGCATACTCTCTCTCCCCTGTCAATCACAGTGACACTAGCTAATCCTGTAAGCTCATGTATGTGGAAGAAGGCAGACAGCGCCTTCCTCCTGTGACACAGCATGAACAGCAGTACGAAAAGATGTGGTAGTTGGTTTCACATGTCTCGAAGGTAGCACATGTTAGCCCTCGCCCTCCCTGGTTTGTTGTTATGTCATAGGGGAGAGCTGACTAGCCAATTAGCCCTAGCACTCCTAATCCAGTGATGTTCATTTTGCTAAACAAGCAATGCTCATTTAACTACTTCAGCAAGTTTCATGTTTCCACCAACACAAGACTACATGTTGCCTATCGCACAGGCTAAACACATAATGCTGAGGTAGCTAATCACACACTGCTAATGCTATTAACCACACCATGCTAAAATTGCTAATCTGGCTAAATTTGTAATCACATTTCTATTAGTGATGAGGTTCAGATTATTTAGAACTGAGAGGAAAAAACTGAGAGGATTTTTTTAAAACCTTTTTTAAAATGCCTCAGGGTGTGGAAATTGTAGCACGAATGTGATGTTAGATGTATCTCATCTCCGGTGTGGTTCCAATTTCATCAGAATAGTTTACTGAGATGAGGAGAAGATAGACTGGGGATTTTGCTGTAAAATCTAAAGGGACAGCCTGCAGCAACGGAAGAGTACAACGCTTTGTAGCAACCAATACCACTAATGCGCTGCACAGGTAATACACTACCTGAAAAAGTAAGCAGAGTTCATTTGTGCCTTCAGGAAACAACGCTGTCAAAACACACACATTGCTCTCAGTCCCAATAGGGACTTTAAGCATCGACGGCTGAAGGCACAGCTGTAGCAGCCGGAAATAAATCTGCATGAATGACTCTTACATGCACTGTGTTTCTTTCATGCATCAATGCACAACACATCATAATCAGGCGTCTCCTCTTAGACAAACAGGGCTTTTTAACATTTTTAGAATATGTCGTCTGTAACGGTACATGACTGAGTTGGCATATCCCTTTTAAACACGTGTTAAATTTTTAATTACTTACCAGGTATAGCATTTGAAACATCAGCATCGTATCAGCGTCACACTCTATTTGTATACATTCGGTACTCGTAGACACTGGCATAAAAGCAAAGAACTTTTAGCATGAAACAAACAGGTTCGGATACATTTTAATTTATTCACCCATAATGAAGTCTTTCTGTCTCTGATGTTTAGCTCGATTCTAAGGGATCAACATAAACATCCGCCATCTTTAAACCAAATTCAGGCAAGAAGAATTGAAGCTGTGCCAAATGGATTCCTAGTCACTGTATAGAAAAACAGTGGTGTAATACCTACACAGCGCAATATAGTTCTAATATAACACTATTTGAGATGTAGCTGCCACAAAACTAAAAAAAAACTAAAAAAAAAAAAAAAAAAGAACCGTTGCAAATGAACTTTGGTTTGCTTTCATTTGGTTTCATTTATATTTAATTATTAATACATAAATGACATGCAACTATTCAGTGCTCTTGTTGCACATCAGGCAACATGATTTATATAGCCAGGCTTCAATTAGGGATGAGAACTGGTGTTCAAATTCCCGGGTTAATTGTTTAAGGCACCAGTATTCAAATACTGAAAACATTATTAGGGTATTCATTACACAGGTAGACAGATAGATAGATAGATAGATAGATAGATAGATAGATAGATATACTTTATTGATCCCTGAGGGGAAATTATGCCCTATCTCTACATAAAGGCAGTGAAAAAAATGATCAAGAAACGTGTGTGGCAGTATTTTGATGCCAGACAGTGGTGTACTAATGCCAGTTAAAGGTGTGTATGGAAACAAACAAAAAAAATTCTTGAGGGCGAGTCATCAGATATGAAGCTTGTGGGTTAAAAAAAAAGAGACCATAATACATTTCCAATGACATTTTGAAAATGACCCCTTGCAACAACTTTAAAACAACAATGGCCACCAATTGGTTAGCAAAGTAAGCCCATTTTACACCAGAAGTGAAGATGCGTGCGGCACATCTCAACCGCCCCACCACACTTTATATACTCTCGCATGCAGCATTGAAATGATGTCTCATTTACCGGTTTAGTAAATATAACCAATTCATATAAACGTCATTACCACTGTGATCACACAAAGCTCTTTAATCCAATTACATCTTCACACTTTCAATTATATTTAAATTTAATCGCCTGTGCTGCTACAGCAGGGTACAGGCTGAAATGTTGAGCTTATATTCATTAAAGCTTTTG